GTAGGAGAGGGAAAAATGAAAGAGAAGGGAGTTAAAAAAATTATATGACACAACAAGCAAGACGTACACAGATAGCATCCAAAACCTCACTCATACATTTTGCCCAAGCTGACGTAATTTGCACATGATGATAGAGTACTGCTGGGCACACCCGGCTTTATGGCTTGGACGATCTGTCCGGTCAGTGAGGCCTGCTAAAGTCTCTTCCCAGAATCCAGATCTTCCACATACACCTTAAACAGCATTGGATCTACTGGGTCATATGCACTGAGTGGCAGAGCACTTCAGCATCATCTAGCTGTGTAGTGGTTCTCACTCTGGGCCCTACCCATATTTCTCATTGCCAGAAAATAGGTAGAAGCAGATAAATGGCCTAAAACCCATGTAGTTTTGGGGCGCCTGGGTAGCTCAGTCATTTAAGTGTCTGTATTTGGCTCAGGTCATGATCCCAGGACCCTGGGATTGAGCTCCACATAGGGCTCATTGCTCAGTGGGGATTCTGTCCCTTTCTCTTGGCCCCTCTCCCCCACTTACACTTGCTCTCTCTCTCTCTCTTTCTCTCTCAAGTAAATAATTAAAGTCTTTTAAAAAACCCTGAAACTCATGCAATTTATGTTCATGAATCCCAAAGACGTCAGCCAAATGTTTTGAAAAGGTGCAAAAAGGTGGACAGTAAAACCCAAGTTTGTTTCCTGCACTTATTACCCAACTATCAGGGTCTCTACATTGGAGGCAACTACTGGTTCTAGTTTGTTTATCCTTATTTTAAAGGGCATATCATGGTATGGCATGGATCATTGGATCACAAGAAACTTCCTGAAGTGGCATTCCCTGAATATTCATGAGATTTACACCCCACCATCTGGAATACATAGAAGGCATATTTGTGTCTTCTTAGTCTCTAGGTTCTATCAGCCTCATAACTTCAGTATGGTAGACCAGTGTAATATGCCATACTCTGAGTAGTCTCACCTCTAAGGGTGGTGAGACTGAACTGCTTTCTCATGTCCTCAGGTTATCCCAATAGAGAAATATATTTACTATCAGCTTCATAACAGCATTCTAGGTGCCTTGAGTGGTATTAGTTTTCTCCAGTTAGGATTCACATCTGAAAGTACAGCTTGAGTTGGACTTACCATTTGATTATGTTTTAGATAGCCTAATATCATTGACTAAGACCAACTGGCCCCTTGGTTGAAGAGGTGGGTTTTTTTGCAGATCACCAGACTTGATTTTGATAATCCAGTCTTTCACCTGGCTATTCTTACTAGAAGAGTATAATGAGGTAGGTTCCTTGATCATAGGCAGTACCTTGTTGGTCAGCATTATTACCTTCTTCTTCCATGGACTTCTGGTTTCCAGTACCCTTATGCGAACAGAAATTTCCCTACTGTTTTCCATGATTTGGCCCAGTGACCAGTTAAATTCTTCTTTCTTCAAAGGTTTGTTGCCTGAAGCTGACTATCTGGTTTGTATTAGATGTTATGTCAGCATATATCAGATTATATCAGTTTATAGTTGCTTTTTTTTTTTTGAAACCACAAAAATCAAAGTGGTTAATTTAAGAAAAAAAAAAAAGGATTTTGTGGAAAGCCCCTGGAGAGTCAACAGGATTAAAGAGAGAACCGAAGGGTGCCAGGCTGGCTCAGTCAGTGGACCATGCGACTCTCGATCTCAGGGTTGTGAGTTCGAGCCTCAAGATGGGTATAGAGATTACTTAACAATAAAATCTTTAAAAAATAGAGCTGGAAAGTTACACCTTGTTAAGGATGTGACATTGGATGGCCTTAGGGATCTAGACTCAGAGAGTCTTTGGAAGGACTTAGTTCCATCCTTATGTCAGTCTATTCAAGATTCAGATTCCCAGTACAGAGTCTGGTTTGCCTAACTTGAAGAATCACCATCTCACCTCTTGACTGATGCCACCAGGTGCCTTGATTAACAGGCTTACCAAGATTTGTGGAATGGAGGAGAGATTCTTTCTTCAAGGGGAAGAAAGGTGTTGTAACCAAAAGAAGGGAGGAGGAATGCTCAAAGGCACAGTCTATAGATGCTCATCTGTTAAGTCATCATTTCTCAATAGGGGTGTCATCGGCCTTTGGGGGAAGACCATTTTTTTGTTGTGAGCTGCTGTTCCAGTGCATTGTAGTTTGTTCAACATCCCTAGCTCCAAGGGGATCCCTGGGTGGCGCAGCGGTTTAGCGCCTGCCTTTGGCCCAGGGCACGATCCTGGAGACCCGGGATTGAATCCTACGTCGGGCTCCCTGCATGGAGCCTGCTTCTCCCTCTGCCTGTGTCTCTGCCTCTCTCTCTCTCTCTCTCTCTCTCTCTCTCTCTCTCTCTCTCATGAATAAATAAATAAAATCTTTAAAAAAAAAAACAACAACAAAAAAAAACCATCCCTAGCTCCAGAGCACTAAATGCCAGCAGCAACTCAACTGGTAAGCATCACAATCAGATCATTGCTTATTTCCCAGCCATAACCATCCTTTTACCCCCCCCCCCCCGACACACAGGCTGTAGAACAGCTCATCAGGAAGGACCAAGGCTGCATGGTCTCTAAAGCTGTTTCCATTTAAAACAATCAGATGTAGTCCCATTGCCAAACAAAAAGATTGTTTGTAATTTGGCTATAATAAAATAATGTTTCCTGTCTCTTGTACCAAAAAGGTCTTCAGTTTAGTGTCCCCAAATATCTAAACAGACCTCATCTAGAACCATATGAACTATATAAGCTCATTAATTTGTTTCTTCAGTTTCTTTGTTTAGGGCACAGACTTCAGAGCTAGACCCTCTGAATCAAATCCTACAACCTGTAGCTTTGCTGTTTACTAGCAGTTACTTCCTTTGGGCTTTTTACATAATCTTACTTTGGGTATTTACATAATCTCTCTGTGCCTCTCTAAACTGAGGATAATGATAGTACCTATTTCATAAGGTTGCTTAGAGGATTAAATTATCCAGTGTGCATAAAGCATTTAATATATTTTCAAGAGCCTAATAAGTGTATGTATAAGCTATTACTATGTTTCTAAAATGGAATATTAATAAGTTTCACATAGATATGCCTTTAAACTTTTTTTCCTGGGGAAGTTACCTTTTAATTAAATTACTATATATGGAAAAGCATTTTGTCATTTAGTTTAGAACTATACTTTGAAAAATATCAATGAATTATTCATTTTTTATCCAGTATTTTATTGTTTGCCAGGCATGCATTAAATTCTTGGAGACAGGGAATTTATATACTAGTGGAGGAAGCAATAACTGAGTGAACAAATAATTACTGATGTGGTACGAGCTGTGGAGGAATCAGCAGAAAGCAGTGAAGTCGGGTTGGTGGAACAGATGAGGGCCTGGACAGGATGGTGGGCAGTGGAGGAGCAGATAGGAAATGAGAGCATGTACCAGAGCTAAGTTTTTGCAGAACTTCAGAGACTCTAGGAAGGGGCTGGGACCTTTTCTACAGGGAGTCAGGACTTCTTTCTCAGGAAGCTTTTGAAGTTGGGAATAGGTTTTAAGCAGGAGTGTGCTGGGTGCGATTTACATTTGGGAAAGTCATTTTTGTGGACTGTAGAAAAGAACTGGAGAGGGTCAGGGGGGACCAGGTAGAAGACTCTAGGGAAGAAATGGATGGGATGGGATGGCATCAATGGGGTTGGAAAGAAGTGGGTGAAGTTAAATGAAATCACATTTATTTTGGAAGTAGAATTGACGGGTGTCAGTGATGGCTTGGATGACGAGGGCAATGAGAGGAAAGGGAGGAATCAGGGAGAAGGCCTAGGTTTTTGGCTACTATGTGCTGTTCGGCAGGATGCATATATTCCCTCTATGATTAAACCTTTTTTTCCCTCATCGTCCTTTTTAAGACTAAATTTTTTATACTATTTAAAAACTTCCACCTGCCTGGTCTAGAGTTTTTTGTACTGCAACCAAATTGTATGATCTCCTTAAATATTTTGGTTTTCTTCTTTAGTAATGAAACCCCCTTTGTTGATATTTTTGGCACTTGATTGAGACCATCTTACCTGTTGATGATTGCTGCCAAAGGTTTAAACTCACCATTTGCTGAGCTGTCATGTGAAATCAAATAGCTGAGTATCATCCCTGGCCCAAGAAAGTATGAGACCTTAAAAGCCTGTGGGGTTGAGAGGCAGACCTCTCTTCTCTGCCTGGTGTGCTTCTTATGGGTGAAGGTGGCGAGAAGCTGGGATGGTGATGGGTCACTCAGGGTTATTTAGCCAGCTCTGCCTAAGGCACATGCTCACTGTACAACTGCACAACTCCATGGTTCTTTTTAACATATACTGCAGGTGGGGTAAATCAAGTTTATGGGCTATTTTCTGTCACTTAGGACTAGTACACTACCTCAATAATTGCAGCTTGTCATATTATACTAAAATATGATTTCTTCTTGTGAATGAATTGAGGTCAAGCAAATATACTAGTCTTTAATAAATTGATTGCTCAAATCAATGCATGTGAAATGAATTATTTTACTTTTTCCTAAAAAGAGATTAAGAAGAAATTTCAGTAGGCAGTAATGCATAGAGATTTTCTTTAACATCTAAATGAGAAGCCAGAAATGCGTATAAAACATGAAAACTTCAAAAACATTTTTTAGACACAACTATTACTAAACACCCATGGATGTTTTTGATTTCCTATTACATTAAAATACTCAAATGAACTTCATATCCAGAACATTTAAAAATAGTTCAATCTTAAAAAGAAGATATAAAATATTATCAGCTGTGCTTTTTGTGCATCATTAGCATGTGTCTGTGAAGGTATAATGACTTCTAGTGTGATGTTACTCTGATAAAAAGTTCAGATGGTGAAAACTATAGCTGTAGCTGGGTGACATGTTTTAAAATAATTCAAAGATGACTCCATAGAAGGCATGTTCTTTTAGTCCCTGTATTCCCCCTGTCACTCATCAGTGGAATATGAAGCCGCCAATAAAAATACATTTAAAAATGTTTCCCCTTTTCTTCTAGATTTGATGTGTACTCATGTTTCCTTCAGTGCTTGGTAGGCCACTGTGAGGGTCCATCACCTTTTCTCTTTTTCCAAGATGGCTCAAGATTCCGTAGACTTTTCTTCTCATTATCAGTTTTGGATGCAGAAGCTTTCTGTGTGGGAACATGCCTCTACTTCGGAAACCCAGCAAGATACCTGCTTTCACCTGCCTCGATTTCAGGAGTTCTTGAGGCAGATGTATGAAGTCTTGAAAGAACTGGTGAGTGGTGGACCAATATAATGAATTTCTACCACATTTAACAAAGTCTGAATGTTATTTAGGGTCAGGATTTGCGGTATTCACCTGATGTATTGATCGATTAGAAAGACAAATTAGTTGTAGGTAATTCAGAAAGGGGGCAGTTTCCTGACCTCTGATTTCTTATGATTTCAGTCTTTCTTTTTAACTTAGTTACATTGTTATATGAAACATTGTTATTATTGACACTTGCTTTGGGGTAATAATTGGGATTCTTTTAAAAGCATTTGCAACTTTTAAATATTGAAGAGTTTTCCGAAATGCTTACCCTTTCTTTTTCTTTCTTTTTTTTCTGAAGAGAGGGCAGGAAGTGGAGAGGAGGGACAGAGTGTGAGAGAGTAAGAATCTTAAGCAGGCTCCATGCACAGGGGCAGAGCCCGATGCTGGGCTTGACCTCACAACCCTGAGATAATGACTTGAACTGAAATCAAGAGTTGGACAGTTAACCAACTGAGCCACCCAGGCACCCCCAGTGCTTACCCTTTATTTAACATTGTCTCAAATAAGTTCTACCAAGAGATGATAAATAATAAGATCTCTTCTTAGGAATATTTTAAGTGGTCTTTTCTGGTGAATATTAAGATTTTGAGTATCTTCACTATTGTATAAATGTATTGTGTTCAAAATTTGATATATTTTAATTTTGACATTTTTCATTTTTACTGATATTTTATGAATTAATGTGCCTTCATATTATGAAAATAATCTTTGTTTTATACTTTCTGATTTCAAAATGAAAAGCGAAATTTTCATTTAACATGGGTGTTCTTGTGTTACATTTTAATTCTTAATCAAAGAAGCAAGTCAGAAATTTGAAGAATTGTTCATGTGGATGATACAAGTTCTTATGTCTTTAGCAACTAGAAGGAAAGATAGAGCCTGTATAAGCAACCAATACTACCTTTTAAAATTGTTTTTCCATAATAGTACTTCTGCAACTTGGCTTTCAATTGGTCCCAGAAAATCTAGGACTGGCCTTGATGCTAAGACAGATGTGAAGAATTGATTGGTACAGCAGCTTACATCTCAGCTTATGTACATATTACCCCATTTAGGTCTTATTTTTTACCTTTCTTGAATGATAAAGAAGTGGGAAGTGGGCCAGTTTACAACAGCATGTCAATTTTTAATCTTAAGCTGTTTTCTATTTAGTTGCTCTTTTTTTGTCTCAGGTTTTAGGTTCTTGTAGAGTAAGTATGATGTCATTTAGCATGTAGTAACTGAAATAGTAATAAACCGATATGTATCTTCATGCCTTGGATGCTTTTATTTCTTTTTACAAGTTCCAGAGTTCTTGTTCTCTCAAACCTTCTTTGAAGTAGCCCCAGTAAAGCTGAGTTAGGAACCTCTCTTATGTTAGAGTAAAAAACCAAGATGAAGATATAGGATTATATAATTATTAATCACCCACAGTATTTTGTTCACTCTTATGCATTGTTATTTTTAAACAAATTGGCCTTTCCTAAGTATGAGTAAAATAAAGGTAATTTTATAAAAAGATTGATTTTACATTAATGTGCTATACATCTTAGTTTTGGTGCTGTGGTTTAAGGATGAAGTAAGGTGGTTACTTGTTAAATTTTATTTAAATTTCCTACTTTTCTGAATTACATACTAATTATTCAAGCTCCCTCAACCTGAAGTGTCATTTCAGCATTTCTAAGTTGTGTGGTGTCCTTTTATTGACCAAAACATAATTTTCTTTTACAGAATTCAAGTACAATCATCGAAAGATTCCCCACAATTGGTCAACTGTTGGCAAAAACTTGCTGGAATCCTTTTATCTTAGCATTTGGTAAGAATCTGTCCTCTCAGGCAGCCCCTGTGGTATAGCGGTTTAGCACCGCCTACAGCCTAGGGCATGACCCTGGAGACCCTGGATCGAGCCCCACGTCAGGCCTTCTGCATGGTGCCTGCTCTCCCTCTGCCTGTGTCTCTGCCTCTCTCTCTCTCTCTCTCTCTCTCTCTCTGTCTCTCTGTCTCTATGAATAAATAAATCTTAAAAAAAAAGAATCTGTCCTCTCAAAATACAATAATTTTAATCTTGCATTGTCCAACAGAATACAGAGCTTCAAATTAAAAATTTTGTCCCATTGCTTTTTTTTTTAAGATTTTATTTATTCATTGACATAGAGAGAGAGGCAGAGACACAGGCAGAGGGAAAAGCAGGCTCCATCCAGGGAGCCCGATGTGGGACTCAATCCCAGGTCTCCAGGATCACACCCCAGGCTGCAGGGGGCGCCAAACCGCTGCGCCACCTGGGCTTCCCTGTCCCATTGCTTATAAAACTATTAAGATATATTTATTGTTGCATTGGAAACATAACATCCTTTTCTTGTCGATACATGTTTGTATAATCACATATATACACATACACCTACACACATGCAGATCTGTAAGAAAATAGAACTTGTATTATAGTGTAGACTCTTCCAGATGATTATCATAATCTTATTTTTAATTCAGTGTAAAATGGTTATAATAGTGAATTATTCCTTGTCTCACAATTTCATATTAACGCAAATGCTACTCTTTTCCATGTGTAAAATAATTCTTCAGTGCCTGAATCCTCCCATGGCCCTGACATTATTTAGGAGTGATGTTGTGGTTTTACATAAGGTGAAGAAGAATTTGGGGACACTCTGGGGGGAGATGTTCCTTTCCTGACATCCTACCTACCTGTCTAGCATCATTTCCTGTGTAATCTTCTAAACCATACCACACACATGGTAGCCAGGTCAAATTACTAACAGTGTCTTGAAGGTACATGACATCAGGGCTTGTGATGTGTGATTCCTTTGCCTGGAGCTCTAGTCTCATCTGTCCTCATATAGTTTCTTTGAAGCAGTTTTGCTGGGGCTGAGTTAGGAACTTCACTTAGTAGTCTCCATAGCTGATTGCCTCTCCCTTAATTATAACACTACACTGTTTTGTAATTGTTTGTTTACCTATCTGATGTCCTGGAGAACTGAATGCCTTTCAAGAGTAGGAACTGTGGTTTTATTTCTTTTTGTTATCCTAGGGCCTAGCATAGAATAGCATAGAGTAGAGCAGACACATCTGAAGGTGTACAGTTGAGGTTTATTGCCTTGATTTGGCAATATTTTTCACTATGTAATATTTACTTGAAGATAGTTTGCTGGATAGGTAATTATGGATGAGAGCAAGGAAATCACTTTCCCCATAATGTAAAACTGATAAAAGCCAGGATCCCACCCATCTAAATGATATGTCTGGATCACAGTCATGGTTGAAGTGGTCCAGTTCTGGCTTTAACACCAGTCAGCCTCATATGAATGTATATATTCCCTGAACAGATATTTACTAAGTTTGGTTTTTGTTTTTGTTTTTTTAATATTCAAGGCCTTGGAAAACATGGCTACAATTTCTCCACTGGAAGTATCCAGTCATAGAGAAAAGACATCTTTGCAGATTAGCCTGACTCAGAAATGGTTTGTGTTACAGAATTCTAAACAAGGAGCTGAGAGATAAAGGAGAGTTTCACATGGGAGGTGGAGCTGGGGCCAACTCTTTGGGGACAGTAGATGAGACCAGACTTTCTGAGACAAGCCACCAGACTCTCACTAGGTTTGATTCCCTTTTTGTAAAAGCAAGTGGCTGGACTGATTTATACCTATGGCCTTAAACTTGTGTCTATCTGTGATCTTTCCTTAGCACCTATCCCTATTACATTGGCCCCCTCTGAAAACCAGAAACCATTCCTTCATCTCTTTTTGTTTTCAGTGCGTATGTTATGTTTTGAACTGCCTGTTAAATTTCAGCTTCCTGTTTGAAGTGTGCCTTGGGTTCTGAGCTTATAGTGGAGACTGATGGGCAATAGAACTCTTATGATGAATCAAGTCTTGCCTGTGTTGCTACTGTTGGTTTGCTAGTTGGGCACATTTATCCAGGAAAGGATCTTTTCTTAGGGTTTTATAATATCAAAATAACTTTTTAAATACAGGAAAGGTGACAGTTTCCATCAAAGAAAAAGTAAGTCTCTCATAATGTTAAGTGAGAATCAGTTCAAAATAAGGATAATACAGAAAGAGGAAGGATTTGGAAATGAAAAGGCACCACTAAGAACAGAGAAAAACCAGATAATGGAAAAGGTGGGAACACCTTTTATTGAGGTGTTCTCTGCATATACTTACTGCTTTTACCTACTTGGAATTCTGGCCAATTGTTTTACCTTGGCCCTCTTGATTGAGCACAACAGCTATAACCTCACTATTTGCTATTTATTGCTGTGTAAAAATTTGCCTCCAAACGTGGCAGCTTAAAATAATAAATACTTATTGTCTTAAAAAATGCTGCCTTTATACTTTTAAATTATGGATTAAAGAATTTTAAAAGGATTTTAAAGAATTAATTTAGCTTTCATTTGGAATTTTAGCTCAGGATACCCCCCAAAAAATATTAGGTGGCAAATATGTGGTGGTATATTCTTTTCCCTTCCATTCATTTTATCTATCTATCTATCTATCTATCTATCTATCTATCTATCTATCTAAAGGATTTTATTTATTTATTCATGAGACACACACACACAGAGAGAGAGAGAGAGAGAGAGAGAGAGAGAGAGAGGCAGAGGCACAGGCAGAGGGAGAAGCAGGCTCCATGCAGGGAGCCCGACATGGGACTCCATCCTGGGTCTCCAGGATCAGGCCCTGGGCTGAAGGCTGCACTAAACCGCTGAGCCATCTGGGCTGCCCTCCATTCATTTTTAGAATCCAAATTTGCAGGAAGATCTGCTGGCAGTGACTGCTTGTATGGTGAATCCCAGGCATTTTTCCATCTCTTCTGACTGCCCTGCTGGATGTCCACCCTGAATGTAGGGGCCTCTGGGGAGGATCCTGACAGATGCCTTCTCCCTTGCAGTGTTTGTTGGTGGCACTCATGAATAACAAGTGATGGCTTGCATCTGTAAATCCCTAAAGCAAAGTGAGCTCATTAGCAGTACATTTCAGTGCATTTCAGTACATTGACTCTGGGCAAAGGAAGGCACCTCCTAAAGGGTGGGTGAACATTTCTTGGGCTGCTCACTCTCTCTTGTTTTCTGTTTTTTTTTAATTTTTTTTTTAGAGAAAAACTTTTTAAATGATATACTTGTTGAAATAAATGTGCAGATTCACTGAACATATGGGGAAAATTTATATCTTATATCTTGTTTTAGATTTAAGTTCCATAAAATAACATTTTCTTTCTTTTTCTCTTCCTCCTCCTCTTTTAGAGGTGAGTGTCTGATTTTTGGAAGTGCTCCCCATTGGGTTGCATTTTTTCTAACTGGGGAGGCTGCTTGCATAGTAAACATATCATTGGATGTGTCTGACACTCTGTGACATGAAGATAGTTATAATTTCTAATACTTAAAGCATAGGCAGTACAACAGTCAGATTTTTAATCAGTGGCATTGACTCAACCTGAAGAATCCTAGGGACCTTCAGAGGTTAAATGACAGGATTCTTGAAGTAAACCTATAATAAGCAAGCTGGTGATATATTTGAGCTTATAAAAACTAGGGAAAAATCAATATCTCACAAAGTAACTCCTGATAAAGTTTGTTCAGAGATGTTATTTAGGGAACTTAAACTTATGATGCTATGGGGAAAAAGTGGGTCTAATAAACAATTACTATTACCATTCTTTGGTGTGTGGTTGAAAATGCAGAGGTAGCTTACTGCAGTTTGTATTTTCCTTATTTCTTGTTACTGTAGCCCTTAGAAATGTTTGAAACTGCCTTTGGCTCAGTTTTTGAGACTGCAGAAGACGAGAGGGTAAAGGGTATGAGGTGATTCTGCAGAGGTTTGATTCCAGGTGCTGGTCTTCTTCAGCTGCCACCGATGGCCTTTGGAAGAGGGGCTACATTTGCTTGGCTCTAGTGTAGGTACTGACATTTTCAGTTTTAGGCAGCATTTGTTTCTCAGTTGTGTTGTTAAATCTCCAACTGGAATGGACTCAGTTACCAAACGAGGAAAAAGAAAAGGGCTCACTGAGTAGATATTTTTGCCAAGTATAAGATTTCAAGTTCAGCATTTTCATCACATATTTGGTAAAGTTTTAAATTTTAGAGGAAAGAATGAGGAACATGTAAGAGGCATCTATTTTATCCAGATCATTTTAGATAAATTTTAAAACAATTTTAAAATGATCCTTTATTAAATTTGTTTTTAACAAATGAGGATGTTTTGGGAAATTAGAAAATTAAGAGATTAAAACAAATACATACTGTTGCCTGTAACAGTTATATTGCTTTAAAAAGGTTGAAATTACTAACAGTTTGACATATGCTTTAAGAGAACTGATCTTGTGAAAAGTGCAGTTCTTTTAGTTATTTCTGTTACTCTCTTTGGCTTTCAAAATTGTTGCTCTATCAGAAAGGGAATTGACCACACAAGGGCTAAGCATAAGTGATCCTGAAACCACAAGAAAAAAAACCCCACGAAGTTAAGTTTCACACATGGTTCTGTGAACTTAGTAGGTTGAGATTTTCCTAAAATATAATAACATATATTTCCTTTAAATACAGTGTTTTAAAATTTTTTATGTTGATTATCTTTTCTATTTGACAAAACCTCCTTATTTTAGTTTTCCTTTTTTGCAGATGAAAGCCAAAAAATTCTAATATGGTGCTTATGTTGTCTAATTAATAAAGAACCACAGAATTCTGAAGAATCTAAACTTAACTCCTGGACCAGGGTAAGAATAAATCTTGCCGCACACTGCTTTGCATTGAATTGATTGTTTAAAGGTGCTCCTTTGATAGTCCAGTTCTATGATGTTTTAGAAACTTTTTCAGAAATATAGTTTTCACTGTTCCATTATCTTGCTGGATGTTTCACGAGGTTTCATTCTTGCTTAATTGTGAATTCCAGAATGTAGCGGTGTTTAGGGTGAATTTCTCATGCCTGGAAGGCCTAATTGTTAGGTTTTTTCCAAAATGAACGGGGGAGAGAGAAAAAATAACAGCAGAGCCAGGCAGTAGGTTCGAGAGTGCATTAATGGGGAGCGCTCCCGGGCGAGGTTCCGTGACTCGGAGAGTTGGCCCGAGTCAGGGAAGTCGCGAGTCAGGGAAGTCGCGCCGGGGTTGGGGAGTCTGGGGTTTTTTTAAGCCTTATTGGTTCTGGTCCGGATACGGGTGGGTCCCTTGCCAAAATAGGCAAGGACACACCATGTCCCTAGGTGATTGGCTGGGGGTGGGGATAGTACAGACGATGGGGGGTGGTCCCTGGCTGGAAAGTCCTGGCTGGAAAGTTTCGGTTTTCCGTCTAGGCTTCGATTTACTGGAGATGACGTGGTGGTCATGGCTCCTTTGGCGGGAAGATTAGCCATTTTTACCCAATTTGAGATGTCTGCCATTTTGGGTGCCCCTGTCTCATTCAGCCTAACTAATGCTGTATGATTTTGTAAAGTTACTTTCAGGTAATTAAAAGAATGTTCTGTCTTCCTCCTAGTAATTGCTATCCTTCAAAAAAATATTTCTCTTGGGGCACATGGGTGGCTCAGTGGTTGAGCATTTGCCTTTGGCTCTGGTGTGATCCTGGTCCTAGGATGAAGTCCCACGTCAGGTTCCCCGCAGGGAACCTGCTTCTCCCTCTGCCTGTATCTCTGCCTCTCTCTCTCTCTTTCTCTCTCTCATAAATAAAATAAAATCTTAAAAAAAAAAAGTTGTTTCTCCCTATCAGCCTGTTTAAAAACTTACATAATTCCTGAGTTCTTTTCTGCCTCTCTCAAATCTAATCTGTAGTAAAATGAAAATTCAGAAGTGCCCTGGGAGCTGCTGTCTTTATTTTATATCCTGAAGTTGCTCTCCAGGCCAGGATGCTCAGACTAGCACCGGTGCTCGTTGGCTAGTGCTGCTCACACCATCAAATTTGTTACTTGCCTGTGTTAGTCCACAGAACCCATAGCCTACTGCATTCCCCATCTGTTTCTGTTTTCTCTCGAAGAGCAGGCACAAGTTGGCGAATATTATAAGGCTGGGCTGTGGCTGCCTTCACCACCAGCAAATTGCTTATTCTTTTCCCATACCCCACACTCTTCTACTGTAATAACCTCAAGGACTCGCTGATGCTTGTCAGACTCCACTTAGTATGCATATAGTTCAGATTAGCTGCTTAATATTATGAACTCACACACTCAGAGTAATGCATACAGTGTTGTCTGTCAGTCTGACCAGTGATATCATTCCGTTCATTGCTTCCTACTATGCCTTTGTTTTAAACAAAATTGCTGACAGGACTGACAAAGACAATGTTTGTATTTTTCCATTAGATTAAAATAATTGAAGGGACAGTAGAAATGAAAAGGATTGGGTGGGGGAAGGAAAGGGTGCAAACTTTAACTAGAAGGTGAATTACTGTAAAGAGCTACAGAAAGGAACTGATAAGTAGAATTAGGAAAGAAAAGATAAAAAAAACAAGCCTATAGAAATAGAATAACATATAGTTTTTAATTTTTTAAATTATTGCTTTTGTTGAGTAGTTGATGTTTTAATGATTACTTAGAATATATTTTTGTATTGGCTAGTTCATTAAGTCCTGAAATAGGCCATCTAATAAAGTGTTTTGGGGGTCTTTAGGTTAACCTTCTTCATTTAAACTCATGACTTTATTAGCCTGTTTAAAAATTTCTAGCCTTGCATTTTATTCTGTGGACTTTCCGTATTTAATACTGTGTCCTGGGGATCCCTGGGTGGCTCAGCGGTTTGGCGCCTGCCTTTGGCCCAGGGCGCGATCCTGGAGTCTCGGGATCGAGTCCTGCGTCAGGCTCCCGGCATGGAGCCTGCTTCTCCCTCCTCCTGTATCTCTGCCTCTCTTTCTCTCTATGTCTATCATAAATAAATTAATAAATCTTTAAAAAAAATACTGTGTCCCTTTATCAATAGGTACACACATAGCACAGGAAGGTTAACTTAAAATCTTAATTCCTGTCATTAGGGAATTCACAGACTGGTAATCAGAGCTATGTATAGGTGTGATGGTGACACAGAGAACACTTGCTTAGACTTGGGAGTCTGTAGATGTGTTCTGCAGGAGGTAATATATCAGCTGAGTTTTGAAGGGTGACTAGGAGAACAGGCATAGAGCTTTAGGAAGGATAATTCTCTCAGCAGAAAAAGCATGCGCAAGGATGGTGGTGAGAAAGCCAGTATTGTACTCAGGGAACTGCAGGTACTTAGATAATGCTTGAGCTTGGGATTTTATACAGCTAGTGATGAAGCATGAAAACGTAAGTATAATTATATGAAGTTTTTTTTTTAATTTTTATTTCTTTATGATAGTCACACAGAGAGAGAGAGGCAGAGACACAGGCAGAGGGAGAAGCAGGCTCCATGCACCGAGAGCCCGACATGGGATTCGATCCCGGGTCTCCAGGATGGCGTCCTGGGCCAAAGGCAGGCGCCAAACCGCTGCGCCACCCAGGGATCCCTTATATGAAGTTTTTATTTTATTTTGAAGGTAATGGGGAAACTAAAGATTTTTTTTTTTTAAGATTTATTTATTTTTGATAGACATAGAGAGAGAGAGGCAGAGACACAGGAGGAGGGAGAAGCAGGCTCCATGCTGGGAGCCCGACGTGGGACTCGATCCCGGGACTCCAGGATCACGCCCTGGGCCAAAGGCAGGCGCCAAACCGCTGAGCCACCCAGGGATCCCCGGAAACTAAAGTATTTTAAACAGAGAAATTATCTGGCCAGGTGTGAATTTTAGAAACATAACGCAAAAGGAAGTTGATTTGGAAGGGAGCAGGGATAGTGCTTTGGCAGCTATTGTAGTGAAGGGGTGAAATCATGTAGCCCTGAATGAAATAGAGAAGAGGGGCCAGATTTATGATACAAATAAGGTAAATATTCAAAAGATGTAATGGCAGGTTACGTACTAATGTACTTAGGTATAGGTGGAGTTGAAATGCTATTCTCAGGAGAGTGAGCTGATTTACACACGAGAGCTCACAGTGCTCAGGGCTTGGGAGCAGTGGAGCCTTGGGGGAGGGGGAGGTTGCCCAGAGAGGGCACCTGGCATGGGGAAAGGAAAGGGCCTCAGGACAACCTTGGGAGACACTGGCATTTAAAAACAAGGGAGTCAGGGCATCTGGATGGCTCGGTGGTTGAGAGTCTTCCTTTGGCTCAGATCATGATCCTAGGATCCTGAGATCAAGTTCTGCATCAGGCTCCTCGCAGGAAGTCTGCTTCTCCCTGTGCCTATGTCTCTGTCTCTCTCTGTGGCTCTCATAAATTAAAAAAATGAAAATCTTAAACAACAACAACAACAAAATACCAGGGAGTCAAAGGTATAGAAGGAGAAGACCAGCAGCATTTCAAGAAAGAACGAGGGTTGTGCACACCAACTACTATAGTGCAGCACTACCCAACACAAATAAAATATATTCTATATAGATAATTTAAGTTTTCCAGTAGCTGCTTTAAGAGACAAAAAAGACATAAATTAAGTTTTTAAAAGATTTTATTTATTAGAGAGAGGGAGAGAGCATAAGCAGGGGGAAGGGCAGAAGGAGAAGCAGGTTCTCTGCTGAGCCGGTAGGCCCACAAGAGGCTCAGTCCTAGTACTGGGAGATCATGACCTGAGCCGAAGGCAGATGCTTAGCTGATTAAGCCATGGAGGCGCCCCAGAAATAAGTGAAATTAATTTTAGTAATTTTTATGTAATCCAGTATATCCAAAATACTATCATTTCAACATATAATCAATATAAAAATTATTAGTGAGATTATTTTATAATCTCTATTCATCCTAATTCATTGAAATCCAGCGTGTGTGTGTGTTATGCTTAAATTTTGCGTCTACGTGTTACATCTTAATTCAGATGCTAAATTTTCACTGGAAGTTCTTACTCTGTTTTTTCAATTTCATAAAATTTACTCTTGAAAAAGTAGGTTCACATACCCAAATTATTCCAGAGAAATTTATAACTGAACCAAGTGTCAGTTTTTAAATTTAAATTTCATTAAAATTTTAAAAATTAAAAAATTCCTTCCTTCATCATACTCAGTACATTTGACATGCTCAGTAGCCCCATGTGGCTGGTGGTCACTGTATTTTGGACAGGGCAGCTGTCGGGCATAAAGATAAGGATCAAAAAGGAGTGCTTGGATTTAAGCCACTAGGAGGAATAACCTTGGTGAGAATAGGATGAGTGGGAAGTGCAAGAAGTAGCCAGATTGCTACACTGAGGAATGTGATTGAAACAGTCTGAGTCAAAAAATAAGAATTTCCTCCGTAAATTCTAAAACTCAGTAAAAATTCAGATTAGTAGATTGAGTTGTAGGAGTTGTAATTTTAGAACAGAGATGAAATAAAAGTTCTGTTTGCTGGCCATATGTTAGTCTATGTTAATATGTTGGAAATACATTAATATATGTGTTTGTTTTTGTTTTTGAGGTTTTACTGGTAACCTCAAATGTCCCATCACATAACTGAGAAGTGGCTATTTTTACAGTTTGGAACTTACTGAAGTCACAGGATTCTTTCATGTCTTTTTGGAATACTTGGTTCTTGAAAAGCTTAATCGAACACATACTTTTTGAGCACCTACTGTTTGTCAGGCACTACAACAGAGGCTGAGGCTGTCGCAGTGGATTTAAAGTCTGTTCTGAGAGGTTATAATCCAGGGGAGATATCCAGGCCTACCAAATTTAGGAGACACCTGTCTTCTCTGGGCAAGACCATACCTCTGTAA